TCAGTCTCCCCACCATCACAGACATCTACACCTCCAGATGCAGGAAGAGGGCCACCTGCATCATGAAGGACCCCACCCACCCAGCACACACACTTTTTGCCCCACTCCCCTCAGGAAGGAGGTTGAGGAGCATTAAGTGTAGAACCACTAGACTGAGGAACAGCTTCTACCCTGAGGCTGTTAGACTCATGAATCTCTAACTAGAATAATCACTGTGAAAAACCATATCATGTTGCTGCTGATCTGTTTCATGTTGCTGCTGATCTGTTTCAATGTTGATGTGTTCATGCGTGCACATCTGCTCACAGACTCATGTTCATGTTTGTGCTGATGTTCAATGTTTTATGTTATGAGTGCTTAGTGTATATTTAGTTGATGCATTTCTTAGTTCATATCTTAGATGTTATTACTGTTTTTCTTATACATTTTATTGTTGGATGTAACTGGGACCCTGTGGACATAATTTCGCTCCACCACATGTACCACATGAGGTGGAGCGACAATAAAGAAACTCTGACTCTGATATTTTCTCTAAAAAAGTTAAATCTGGTCCGCTGGACATTCAAAAGAAAAAAATTTGAAACGTTTCGTCTCTCATCCTGAGGACTTCCTCAGTCTGAGGTGCTGTTTTCAGCTCAGTCTCTTAAATAGCACCTTCTCAGAGTGGATCAACCAGTTTTGCTGCTGACAACCAGAACCAGCTGATCACATGCTCAAGAAGGACCATCAGCCTAACAATGGATCATTAGCACCTGATGGCTGTTTACTGTTCACAGAGGGCTGAGTGATACTAGCAATCACAGCATTGTAAGAGGGGGACAGTTGAACCTGGAGGCTCCGCCCCTGTTTAATGATGGACGGTTTCTTTTCACAAAGATGGCCTCCTTTACTCCTCTCTCAAACCATCGTTCCTCTCTGTCCAGGATGTGAACATCTTCATCCCTGAATGAGTGACCTCTGACCTGGAGATGAGTGTAGACCGCAGAGTCCTGGCCTGATGATGTTGATCTTCTGTGCTGGTCCATCCTTTTGGCCAGTGGCTGTTTAGTTTCCCCGATGTAAGACTGATCACCCTCCTGACACTGAACAACATACACAACATTGCTCTGTTTGTGCCGGGGGACTGGATCTTTGGGATGAACCAGTCTTTAATGTATTTTGGGGTTTAAAAGCCACTGGGACGTTATGTTTAGAAAATAAACGTCTCAGTTTCTCTGATACTCCCTCAACATATGGAAGGACCACTGGTCATTGTTGACGACAAATGGGTTAAAATTAAATCTCAGGAAGTCCAACATTTTACTGACCACATCAACTC